AGCCCCGGCGGAGCGGGTGGGCAGCCGCACGGAGCCCTCCGCAGCATCACTTTCCCCTTCTGGCCCGAGGGCGGCCGGGCTGGGCGGCTCTCGCCGTGAGGCCGTGTGCCTTCACCTGCCTGGAGCCGCCCCAGCCCCCCTTCCTCCCCGGCTGGGGTGTCAGGGTGCGTCTGTGCTCGCCCCAAAGGAACGGGTGCTTCGGATGCGCTTCATTTAACGTTTGATCTTTAAAGGTGGTTAAAATAACCGGCAGCGGTATTTTCTAAGCGTATGGGTTTAGGTAGAGCTGGGCGGTGAGCTCTGTAACGGGGGCTTTGCTAACAAGGAGGTGGGCTGTCGGGCCTGAGAAGCGACCTTGGTGGCAGAGCGCTCAGATATGAAACTGAAGGCCTCATTATCATCCTGCCAAGAGCCCGTGGCAGCACCTAGTTTGCATATCAATGTGCAGACTCTAGCAACCGGAATTCCTTGCTCGTTCCTATCTCTCCTGCTAGAGATACGAGCTATTTATGCCAAGTTCAGCAGCGGTGGAGACTTGCAGCTGGTCACTTTTGTTTGCATCTTGCAGGCAAAAGCAATGCAGATGTTTGCCTTCCTCTGCATGCGATGGGTAGTCTGGGTCTCTAGTTTAATATGTTCTAGTTTAGTAGTGTCTGTTTAGTTTCAGCTTCTGGTTTTTGTGCCAGGCTAAAAGGCATTGGAAGGTGATGAGTCAGTGGACCAGCAAAAGGCCTGTATGGACAAGTTCTCCTTTATTTAAGAGGGCTTTATCTGGTAGGAAGGCTTTATCCAGTGATTATCAAGATGAAATTAAGTCATGTAAGAGCTTGTGTGTTGGGGAGGTACTTGAAAGAATTAATGAAATTGCACTGATGACTGAACTATTGAGTGGACTTTGCACGTTATGTTTCTGCCTTGTGTATTAGCCACCACTGACACTGCTCTGTATGTTTGGGATTGTCCCAAACTCCCTGGTGCAAGTCTAGATGGTGTGTAAGTGCAGCGGCGCTGTTTCTATTGCTTCTCCTGCACTTGGGGCAGTTTGTGATGCTTCTGCTTCTAGCAGGGATGCTCAAATGTTCTGAATTGCCTTTTCTGAGCTTCCTTTTGTCCAGTGCTTTTCTGTGTGCAGGACTGAAAAGGAACTGCCGGGTCACGGGCAGGCTCCTGCAGTTGTTTCTCACTCAGCTGTACATGCTGAGCACAGAGGAATGCTGAACAAAGGTCTGTTTCATGACCTTCCCCTTCTTGATATCTTATCCTATTCTCTGTATCCTATTGCAAGCTTAACTGTCCTGCGAGTTTGTGTTCCTTCTGCATTAGCACCGTGCTTCATCTCTTTATCAAAAGTAAGATGTAGGAAGAGCTGGACTATGAGGGTAACCACGGTTGGCATATGTTAGGTTCACTGTTGTCATTTGCCTAGATTTGGGGATTTTGTCAGCTATGAAGAAACTTGAATCAGCTGTCAGGCAGTAATGCTGTGCTGGCTTCCCAGGTTTTGGGAGACTGTAGCTCAACACGCCTGTGAGTTGTTGGGTTTGTAGGTCTGTGCTGCTGTGCCTTACAGGGTCAGTGTACTGCATGCTGTACACTCAGAACGTGGTGTCTGACCCATGAACAGAGCTAAGCTCTTGGTGGTCTCAGTGGGTTTATGCAGCCTCAAGTCAGGTGTTTGGAATTTGCAGTGAAATTAGTTGGTATTAGGGGTCTTGTACATCAGCTCAATTCACTGCACCTGAGGCAATGTTGGCACTCCTGCTTTTGACTAGCTGTCCTTTACTAGGTTTAATGTGAGAAAAGCTTATGACAGTATGTCTGACTTGTGAGTAGAGGTAAGAAAACATAGTTGCTTATTGTTTGGAGTTTTGTTTGTTTCTAAGGAATGCCAAAGTGTTACATTTTCTGAGTTTTTCCTCTCTTCTCCTGCACGTTGAAGAGTCACTGTAGATCCTTAGAGAGGATAAGAAATGTTGCGTCTTGTCTTGGGATCTCCTTGCTACATGACTAAAATTCACTTACCCTTTACATAACCTCAGTTGATGAGGTGCCTCTATGTGGGGAACTGTGACTGTGTCAGAGTGGTGTGGGAGTCAGCTGAGAAACTGCAGTGACTTTGTAACTGAGGTTAAGCTTTTTGGATCAGTTCTGGTATAAGGAATTTGAAATTAGTATCATTTAAACTGGCTTCTTAGCTGGTTTAGCATAAACAGTACAAGAGGTTCAGTGAATATTCTTCTTGTGTCAGAATAGCTTATTTTAGATCAAGTAAACAAATAGAACTGGTGTGTTTCTACAAAAAAAAAAAAGCAGAGTTAATTTTTCTTTATTTTATGAAGATCATTGAAAAAATGTATCTTCAGTTGGGTCTTGGTAAGTCTCCTGCATATGAGCTGAGTTTAGCTTGTTAATTACCTGTTCACTCCATGCCTCACACCATGGGAAATCATGCTTTATTTATGTGGAAAGCATTTGAAAACAAGTGGGTAACTGCTTTCAAACTTGCTTTGCATGGTGGAAATGAATACAGAAATACAGCAGGAGGTGATGGAGACTTTACGTCAGACTTCGAAGACATAAAATGAGTGGACTCTTTCTTAATAAATGCAAATGATGATCTGTTAATGGTATAATGATGATTTCAATACTGAATTAAAGTTGGGTAAAGTAAAAGCACTTCCTTATGGATACATGCACATTACTGTTGAGTAAGTTGGGGATGTAAAGCTTAACAGCACTCGGGATAGCTGCTGCATTAACTGTGCCCCATTTTCCTTGAAATAGAAACAAAGTTAGTTTTCCTTGCCTAATTAGGTAGGTGATACTGAGCGTTTAGCTTGGACAGTTACTGTGCGACACGTGATGTGCTGCAAGTTTATGCCCTGGTTTGCCTTGCTGTAATTTGTATGTTAGTCCCTGTCACAAAAGAAATTTGGAAAACATACAGGAGATATTTTATATATAAAGTCTAATGCTTCGCGATCTCTTGTGATACCTATATGATCTGACAAGCCTTCTGACTCTGAGGGAAGTGTCTTGGCAGTCTGGGCCTGGAGCTCTGGATAGCAAAACAAGAAAACATCTGGTTTCTGTTGCTGTTTTAGAAACATTGGAAGACTAATTTGTTGATATATAATATGTACAGTGAGCTTAAGTAAGTACCAGAAATGTAGGGATATTGGACTGGTGTCTTGTACTGACCCACCTACCTGTGTGGCTGGGTCTGCATTTGAGTTACTTGCCCTAATACCTGTCAAAATGCAACTCGCTCTTCAAGTGCTTCTTTATTAAGAGGTGCTAATGCTCTGTTTGCTGGTATGTGCTGTGGTTTGTTTATGCCTAAGAATACGTTCTTGAGTGACAGAACGAAGCTCCTGCTTATTTCAGATGGAATTGCTCTAATTGGGGGTTTAAAGTGAGCTGAGGCTGCCAGAGAAACAATTACTTTGATCTTGAAAGAAAGGGTGATGTTATTGTTGAAGCAGCAGAGTAGAAGTAGGTTAAATTTAATGTGCCGTCTTTCTCTCTGCAGCATGCAAGGCACTTAATTTTTAGCTGTAGATCTACGTAAATGTGAACAAGTGGAACAGATGTTGGGTGCTCTTGGACTGGGGGGCATGTTTTTGTGTGTTTGGTTAGTTGGAGCCTCTTTTATTTGTACCATAGAAATTCCAGCAATTGCAAGTTGAGAGCATGTTTGGAAATTGAACCACTGTTTTAACTACACAGCTGAGTGAAGATGTGGAGCGAGTATCTGAAAACCCAACAGATGAAAGAGAAGGAGAGATGGAAGTTCATGAAGATGCCAGCTCTGTTATTTTACCAGGTGAGAACCATTGACCCAGAAATTACCAATTTTAAGTACCTGATAAGCTGCTTCTCTGTGTGGGTTTGGTTGTGCTTGTTTTTGTTTGGGTTTTTTCTTTTTTTTTTCTTTTTTTTTTTTTTTTTGTTGCACTTCTGAAAGCAAAACAAAACACTAAATTACTTATTTTGGGAACAAGGGCTGATGGAAGGCCAAGGAGTTTCTCCAAGGATTGATATGAGAACATTTCTTTGTCACAAGCTGTGCTTAATTAAAGAAGATTCTGCACATTTGGTTCTGAGATAGCATAGTATGTCATCTTTTTTTATGTTGTATCTTACCTGAGTTGCAATATCTGTGATGGCAGTGGATTGCAGGCAAAGTTTGTACCAGACTTACATGAATAAGGTGCAATATTCAGCAGATGTGCTTTTAAGCAGGTTTTATTTAGGCTGTTTGGATCTGCTTTTGAGGGTGTGGGGCAGTATTAAATGGCCTTATTTCAGCTCAGGTGTAGGCATCAAAGTAAACGAGCCTGAAGTTGAGTATCCCCTAAATGCTTTGCAGCTGGTTCAAGACGTACTTGCTTCAGTAGTGCAGTTTTATGCATATTAATGCCCTAATTTCCTTGGCTACCATCTCCTGGCAATGAACTTAGGAACAGGTGTGTGACCATGGGCCTTTGTAAGAGGTTATAAAGGCTGGTGTTTGCCGTGGTAAGGAGCAAGCACCAAACTGTGCTATTATAGTTGAAGGGCAGAGAGTGACATGGCCTCAGAGGGCCTGGCATATTAGATTGCACTGCCCAGAAATGTCAGCGTAAAATATGCCTGCTTACCTCCTTTCATGTGTTGGGTTTTAATGCTCCTTTTGCATGTTCAGCAGCATCTTGCTCACAATCAAAACATGACGTGTAACACAAGAGTACATGAACCTTTTCCTTACAAGTATTGCCAAAAGAAGTGGTGAGTGCAGGGAGTATGGGGAAAGCAGTGTCTGTGTACAAGTGAGACTAGTGTGAAGATCTTCAGAGAATAAACTTTGAAGGTGAGGAGACTGTGAGAGAACTGGCTCAGTCTTTTTCTAGCTGTAATTGGCAGAATCCTTTTGTGAAACTTTATGTAGTATGCACCAGGTGTGACAAACTAGAGTCCAAAAATGAGGGGGTAACAAATACCTAGTAGCTTCTACCATGATGGAGATGCAATGCAGATAGCTGTGAAAGAGCACTGGAATATTAATTTTCCCTGCTGATGCATATGCTGAGTGTGTAAGAATCACTTCAGATTGGGAGGAGGGAAAGGAGTTGCTTTTTCCAGGAGGAAAGATTGACCATCAACAGACTTTTTTTTCTTATGAACTTTGAACTTTGTTTCTGAGTTGTCTGTCTTGAAAATAAACCTTGTTTCCTGCCTGCTGTGTCCTTAAGCAGAGTGCCAAAAGCAACACAGGAAAAAAAGGCACAATCTTTGTATGATTATGCCTCATGCTTGAGAAGAAAGCATCTGTCTGATCATCAAATCCAGCAACAGTTGTGCTTTTTTATATCGAGCTGAGTTTGAGGCTTACTGTCCTCTCAAGTGATTCATCTTTAAATGAACACTACATAAATTCAGCCCAAATGTCTGCATTTTAAAGTCCTAATCCCTATTCTGTTTGGTTCCAGATAGTGAACTGGGTACCACTGCCCCTTCTTTGCGTTTCAGCAAGACCTGCCTAAAGAATGTTTTTTCAGTAATTCTCCTGTTTATTTATCTGCTGCTCATGGCTGTAGCTGTGTTCCTTGTCTACCAAACCATCAGTGACTTCAGGGAGAAGCTCAAGCACCCAGTGATGTCTGTCACTTACAAGGAAGTGTCCTTGTATGATGCACCTGGTAAGACTGGTAACAAACAAAATGGGTTAAGTTGTTGTTCACACTTAGCTTGGATTGTTTTGCATTTTTGGTGTTGCTTCCTCAGGGCCCAGAGTGCATATAATGCTTTGAATTAGGTCTTTTACTTCCTCTTTTCTAACCTATGTTATGTTAACTGTGCATGGAAGTGTTAATATTGTAGGACAAATTTGGGGGGTTTTCATGTCAATAACATGAATGACAGTAGCTGCAGAGCATGATGCAACATTTGGTAGATAAGAAGTGTTTGCAGACTCTGGAATAAGCCCTCTTATAGGGAAAGAAGACAATTCCTTGTGGAAATATTCCCAAAACTGTATTGTTCAAACAGGGTAGCACATAGGATGTGTATCAGGACCTCAGTTCTGCACTGGACAGTGAGATGCTGTTGACAGTAAAGAAGATGAATTTCTCAAACCAACCACAAAGTAACCACAATGCCACTTTCTGCGTCTGTTCTGCATTGTTTACAACTTGGTATTACATCAGTAGGCATTGAAAATGTGATGTGACTGCAGGGAACAATGTTGGCATGAAAACGCAGTGTGGCATCAGAAAACTGCCTTGCAGTTGGCAGGAGGGATTACGCCACCAAAGCATTTTTGAATAGTGAGTTCTGTCATTATTTTTTACAATTATCCAGTAACCATTCATAAATAGACCTGCGGTAGCAAGTGCAACTCAGTCATATGTCAGTTTCCAATTTAAAAATAACAATTTTGTTTGAAGTGTTACCACATTTTACAAATAACCACTCCAGTAATTGTGGCTGAAAGGTGAGTGTTTCAAGTTGTTGCCATATTCCTGTAGTTGTTTTTCTGTGTGGCCAGTTAGGCTTAGTTTTGTAAGTAGGTCGTTGCATTTGGACCATGTGGATCTGACTATAAGAGCAAGTTTCTTCCCCCCCCCCCCCC